CCTTAATCATCTTGTCTGGCTTATTTCTTTGGCTCTGAACTGCTTTTCTCCACCCGCAGTACCGGGGAAAATCAGATTGGAAGAACAGTGTCATTAGTGGCTGCATCACTGGAGGAGCCATTGGTTTCAGAGGTTAGTAAACAGTTCCCAAACGGTTTTCTATGTGGCCTTGAACAACATGCTGAAGTTGACATTTCAAACATGAGTGTTCCAGGGACAGCGCAAGGCATATGCAAATACTGGATTCTCTTCCCTTCTGACAAGGAAATCATGTGTGCTTCTGTGTTAACTCAGTTTTGGAAACTTCTAGTATCTAGATCAGGATTTCTGATCCTTGGCATTGTTGACATTTTGGACCAGATGAATCTTTGCTGGGAGCGGGCAGCTGTCCTGTGCATTGGTAGGATGTTTAGCAGCATCCCTGGCCTCTACCCACTAGATGCCAGTAGCATCCCTTAGTTGTGACAACTAAAAGTGTCCCCAGACATCACCAGATGTCCCTGGGGGACAGAGTCACCCCCAAGGTGAGAACCATAAATAGATCCAGACCTGTCTTAGAAAGCTGCCCCTACATGGGAAATAAAGGAGACTATCCTCACAATAAGTAACTTCTGGAGTACGTTGCTATGCAGGGTAGTAGAGAAGCAGAGCTGGGCCTCATGCAGCCCTGGAAGGCCTGCTGTCCAAATAGTGGGCTCTGCTGAACTTTCAGCTCTGTGCATTTCAAACAGTTAGACTTTTTTTTTAATTACTATACAATTGTCACCTTAATTTTGTGTATAAGTTATCACAGTAATGTCTTTTTGCAGTTTAGGATTCTTAGATTTTTACTGCTTGAAAGCCAAATATAGGTGTTCTAGAAATGTTGGATTATCAGCTGTAAACAACGAAGAAAGAAACAGCTTCCCTGCCCCTTCTCCCTGTTGGTGTGCGTCAGTGACTTGACTTTCCTAACGGTCCCCATTGCTGGGCCACTTTTCAGCTGCTGTGCCCAGACTTAGCCAAAGCAAAAAGCCTATTTTCTCATTTTTTGAGAGGAGGGGTGATTTGCTATCATTAAAACCTGTTTTTACTCCTCAAACAGCCGTTTGTGATTTATAGGGTAACTCCTTCTTTGGTCTTCCCATCTCTCAGCCTTGTCAGGGTCTTTGAGAGGCTCAGATCCCTCCAGAATTGCTTTGATCACCTTCCCAGGAATTTATTCCATAAACAAATCAGGGTAACAGGCCATATGCTTTCACTTGATTCCAAGGACTGGTGCTCTTAACCAGTTTCATGCCTGTGAGGGGCTACTTTCATGAGACTGGAAATAGTCATTCTTTAGAATGAGAAAAGCAAAATGGACGTACAGTTAGATAAAAGCACACTGGATCAGATTGTGTGCACAGCGTCATCGAAGTCTCCCAGCTCTCTGCTAAGTTGAAAGACTTAGAACATGATGGTTTCTTTGCATCTATGGGTGTGCAAACTTTTCCTGAATGCAGCCGGTACTGGCATCTCTCACCACAGGTAATGTCATCTCTGTTTGCTTTACAGCTGGCTTAAAGGCTGGGGTCATTGGTTGTGGAGGTTTTGCTGCTTTCTCTGCTGCGATCGATTATTACCTACGGTGAGAGCAGTTGCCTCCAGAGAAGGACAGTGCCAGCCCAGGATCAGAGCTGTTCTGTGGAGGGCGGTTTCTGCTCTGCTCCAGGGCACTGGCTTCAGAGACTGAAGACATTGGTTTTTCCTTATATAGTTGGTGTCATGCAGGAACCGCCTGGCTTCAGTCTGCCTCCAGCCTCTGAGCGGCCACACTCTCTGCTCCTGGACTCCCCAGGCTGTGTGTGGGATGTATGCCATGCCAGCTCCTCTCTCTCGCGGGCAGTTCAGGAGTCAGTGTGTTGACTTGGAGGAATTGAGTTCCACAGAGGTTCAGTCCTGACCACATCTGGCCCCCTGGTTGTTTGGCGCTGTGGGAACAGAGGGCACTTTACATACCCTGGAAGCTCTTCTACCTTGGACGTCCGTGCAGTCATCCATCTCACACATCAGGGCAGGGCAAAGTTTACGCCGTCTGACCAATTATGTCATTTTGTTTAGCATTCTGCTATCCTTGTTAAAAATATATATATATTTATATTACAGTTTAAATGGTTGGTTTATTTTTATTTTCAAATTTCATAGTTCCCAAAAATGGTACTAGATGGCCCAAAGATTAATATCCAAAGGGAAACCATGAGAAAGCTCCTAAGAATTCTGGGAGTGTGGGATTCTCAGGGTCTGTACAGTAGTATCCTCACTGAGATTGTCCCATTGGCCAGGGCCTTCCCCACAAAGAAGCCCAGCCTTGCCATGTCCTAGGATACATTGAAATTCCATGAATAACCCCTACCAGCCTCTTCTAAAAAACCCTCCTGTGTGCTGGCCGATAGGAATGCCTGCCGTCTGAACCACACGGTGGTGGTATGCTGTGACTGCTGGACCAGGCCCTGGTCAAGGACACATGTGAAAGGTCCTGCTGTGATCATCGTGGTGACTAAATCCCAGGAGCTGTGGGCTACGATCAGGCATTGTTGAGGAGCTGTTCACTGGTACCCTTTTTCTCTGGTGCCAGTGGTTTTTTTCCCCCTTGAACACGTGTTTTTGAGTTGATCTGGTGGCCTTTTTCTGACAGTTGCAGCTCAGCCTCATTGTGCGCCACAGGCAAAAGCCCAGCCTTTTACAGTCGGGGTCTGCCGCAGGTGCTGCTTTACTCCAGTGCTTCGGCGGTGGGGTGGAGATGAACCTGGCTTTTGCTCTTGGTGACAGGCAGGTAGCTTGGTGGGGGCCATGTAATTCGGGCCACCTTCAGCCAGTGGTAGCAGCTCTTTTATTTTACTGGATAGTCATTCCTTTGCCTTCTTTTGGCTTTCTTTCCTTGTCTGTCTTCTGGCTTACCCACCCTTAACCAGAATTCAGACTGAGCCGAACCATCCAGACGTCTTGAGTGTGTGTGTGATAATGTCAAGCCCAGCTGGTGACACCTTCCTCTGCCATGTCTGCTGTTCCCTTGGAATGAATGTGAGTACAAGGCTCATGTCCTTCTGTGGTGAATTCTATATAATGCCTGTCCCAGTCTCAGTCATGAGGCTCCACTGCTGCTAGGCTGGCTGGAGTATCCTAGGAGGTCTGAGAACAAATTTAGGAGCGTTTCCTATATTATCCCTAAATAAGTCATCTATAAGCACTTAGAGCAAGAGCAAACACTTGGACTCGGTACCTGTTAAAGTGCTAGGATGCACGCCCCTTCTGCCATCCAGTCTAGTGCGTGGGGTCCGATATGCTGAATGACTGAGTACAAGAGATGCTACACTCACAACTGCCTTGGAAAAGATGAACCCTCGGCTGTCAGTGGCCATCAGTACAATAAGCCAAGCATTGTCCATATTGACTCTTCAGTCAGAGAGAGGAGATGAATAGTTTCCTGTTTTAGATGGCTAAGGAGTCAGTATGAGCTCATAAACCAAACACCGATTTTCAGAGACATCTGTTCCTGATCTCCAGAATAAACAGTGTCCAGTGGCTTAGGCTGGTGGGAGCCTGCGTTAACCCCACTCACTCTCTAAAGGGAGACTGGGCCCTCTAGGGGACCTAGCCTCTCCAACAAGCAGATTAGGCAAAAGGCTGCCCCAAAGACCTGCCACTTCCAAGGAGAATGTAGCGAAGTTTATGTAAAATGAGCGTCCATTTGAATGGACAGCTTCCTGCCACTTGTCTGAGGCATACTGATGGCCAGGTCCCTGGTGGGGCATTTGTATTTTGTGAAGAGAACTGTCTGGTGACTGACCTGGAGGCATTTGTGAAAGAGCAAGGAGAGGGCATGGGTTCACCTCCCCCAAAACTGCCATGGTCCCCACAGGCCTCAGGGAAGTGCAGGGGGTAGTTTAGGTAAATAGATTCTTGGAAACTCACATCTGGATGCAGCTGGAAGAGTTAAATATTTAGATTGGTGGTCTTCCCTGGACTCCTGAGAACACAAACGTCCACACCACAGGGCTGAGTTGTGTGCAAATGTTGGGGCTTTGCATTTTTTTATTAACATTTTCCTCTTCACGTGGTTTACATCATTTTATAATAATCTACATAAGTTGAAACAGAACATAGACCAAAGAAAAATATATCCTTACCAACTTATTAAAGTCAAATATGAATGAAGGGTCCCATCCTACCTGTATCAGCAAACGCCGGCAGCCCACAGCCATTTCCAGCAAGGACAGGCACCCGGGATTCCTGTAGCCTGTCTGCTGGGCTCCAGTTGGCACAGCCTGCCCTCCTGGGCACAGTGGCTGGGGGTTCTGGGCTGCACAGTCCCTGTCTCTCAGGAGAACCCATGGGCTATTTCCTTGGTGCAGCTTTAGTCCAGGTCTGGTACCTGCCCCTCCCCACTCTGGGGGTGGAATTTATAAATATTCTGAGCCTTTTGCATTTCTTAGCCCTTCCAGCCTTCCTCCCATTCTCATATGGCCTAAGCAAGGTTGGGGACTGCAGTAGCTACCTGATGCTGAGAAGCAAACATCCCTTTATTTTGGGGGAGGTGGGAGGCACTGTAATTAGCTCTAGCTGGGCCTCCAGTTCATTCCAGTCAGTGGCTTTGGAAGCAAAGACTTCCATGCCACACACCAGCTCCTGAGCGCCGAACAGACTCCAGGGATGGTCAGACATGGGGATCTTTAGACTCAGGTGGCATTCTTTCTCCACCTCCTGTCTCAGGGAGCAGGGCTCCTTGCTGAGCTGCTAATAGGCGCCAGGGGGTCAGTATTTCCCTCCTCTTACGCATCTCTTTCCTCCAGCTTGCACAGAATGTACCATTCTGCCCACGACTGGGCATCAGGTGTAAACAAGATGAGAAAGCGCCCTTCCCCTCACTGAGCAAGTGCCACAGCTTCTTTTAAAACAGCCCAGATCTCAAGCTAGGGGAGCTGTTCTCTCCAATCCCAAGGAATTGAATCAGGTCTTCGTCACCACCGAGGAGAGCCAGGGAGCTGTGCACTGCGGCTCAAGCCCTTGCAGCCCCAAGTGACTGCCCTCCCAGGCCAATTGCCACAGGACAGCCGCTGCTGCTCAGTGGGAAGAGACTGCGCTTTGGGGCTACTTCTCACTCCTTTCCAGACTGAGCAGTGGGTCTCAAAGTTGGGAAGGGAACCTGCTGATCCCTGAATGTCAACAACAAGGGTTCCCTGCAAAACCCAGTTCCCAGAGAGGACCGTGCCTGTGACTCCTCATTCTTCCCCAACTTCTAGAGTTTCGCAGTTACCCCAAAAGTCTGCATCCAAGAAGCTGGGGGTAAGGAGGCAGCACCATGATGGCTGGCTACTGCTGGACTGTGCCTACCTGTCCCAGGCCCTGGCGCACACGTGGCCGTGGGGGCTGCCCCATGGCAGTGCTTGGCTGTGGAGAAAGTGTAAAATCTAAGGCAAAGGTACCACGAGGTGCATGAGCCACCAGGAAGGGCTCCCCCCTGGACAGAGCCTGCCTGTTTCAGGACACCTGTTCAGCCCTAGTAGTTGCCCTCCCAGAAGCCTGGCTCCCCTAGAAAAGCCACAACTCCTTGCTGCTGAGAGCCTCTGCCCCCCAACTTAGGACCCCCAGCGCCCCGTGGCGCTCCTCTGAACATCCAGCCTGTCCTGTTTCCTCAGTGGCCCGACTCTCCCATCTCCCTCGATTCTTTCCTGACCGCCGGCTACCATGATAGCAGGTCACTTGTGAGTCTTTACTCTCAAAGGAAATCTACCACCAGGGTAAAAGGAACTGAAAAGCAGTAGAAGAAACAGTCAAAGATGCCTCACTGCTACTGGAGACAGAACAGATAAACCCCAGAAATGGAGGCTCTCAGGTGGAAAATCCCAGAAATCCATTCTCCAGCCTGTGCTAAGCTGAGGATTAGTGTGAGCCTGTCTCCTTGTCCGACATTTGCACAGGCGGCCAGGCCAAGCAGGTGTGCTTCCACGGGTGGAGGAGGGCAAGAGGGCCAGGGGGCGGCATCTGACCAGCCGCCACTGCCACCGCCACTGCCACCCAGGGCCTCCTCAGAACTTTCCAGGTGACGGATCAAAAACCAAGGCTGCACATGCATGCGGGCAGGCCGGGAGGGAGGAGAGGGTAGGGGAAGGCCGAGGGGAGGCTGCCAGGAGACGGCGATCTGGGAGCAGGGCCAAGAGAGGAGAAGCTGGCAACAGTTACAGTGCAAAAGAAAAGCCCTTGGACTGGACTCTGGAGGAAAGTGTTGGAGGAAATGAAAGAACAAAGCAGGCTGTCTGTGTGCCCGCACCAGGTCGGTCACTACCTTTTCTGCATGACAAACAGACGTAAAACAATTCCCGAACGGCACGGAGCATTAGACACAACTAGAGGTGCAGAGGGCAGAGCCCAGGGTGTGCGGTGAGGCTGGGGCTGGGGCAGCTGGCTTTGTACAAGGTGGCACAAAAGATGCACGTCTTCCAGTTCTTGGAAATCTGTGTCCCTTGGAGTCTGGAGCACTGGGTTTGGAAGTTTTCTATTGTAGTCCTTCAAGTCTGTGTTGGGTCCCTGCTGGAGAGGCTGGCTCGGGCCACCCCCCACAGCTGCTCCCACCTCAGGCTACACGTCGGTGGAGAAGTACAGTGTGTTCCGCTTTAGTTCTGCGAAGGAGATGGGGGGGTGCTGCAGGTAGTAGAGGAGGACCTGGACCTGTGGGAGACACGGGACACTGAGCCTGGGGCCCTCGCCCTGGAGGCCCTCCTCTGAGGAGAAATGGTCTTGGCGATGGGTTCTGTGTTGCTCCCCTCCCCCTCAGGCTGCCTGCTTCTAGCCCAGGGTGGCTGCCCATTTGCAGCAGTAGAGGGCGCTGCAGGGTAGTGGGTGGGGTGCCTGAGGCCACTTCCCCAACCTCAGTCATAAACTTCCAACCGGCTCCAGAGGTTGGCTTTGGCTAGGCAGCCCTGTTTTAGGTTGGACCCTCTCCTGGGTCTTGCAGGGCTCCCAGGGAAGCTTCCTGACCTCGGAAGCAGTCCTAGAGTTTCCGAGCATGAGGACAAGGCCCCAGATTTTTCCAATACCGCTGAGCTTGCTTTCTGGGGTCCAGGCACTCCCAGGATTGCAGCCAGCACCCAGGGCAGACAATCTCTGGGTCCCTGGTCTAGGCTCATACTTCTTGGTTTGGTCTTGGAGGGGCGGACTTTCCAGGGCCCCGCCTCCCTGGTGACATCCTACACACCATCCACCCAGCTGCTCAGGAGGGGAGAGGTGTTGGACTCCGAACTGTTTTCTCTCCACCCCTCGGGGGCTGGTCTCTCCCCTCCGCCTGCCACAGGCCCGGGCAGCGCCGGAGGTACCTGTGCCATGACATCATGAGACCAGATGTCGGCAGCTGATGTGAGGTGCGCTTTGCTCTCCACTTCTGAGGGTCTCAGTAACGTGGGGCCAAACACGGTAGCCAGGTTGTGAAGGGACATTTTGTTGATGGGTTCTTTCTCAGCAACCCTGAAAGGGAGGGAGAAAGAAGTCATTTCTGGCAGCCACTCGGGGCTCCAGACCATTGGCTGTTAACAGCTCCTGGAAAGATTCCCAGAGGTGGTCACCAGCCTCCGTCTTCTAAGGGGAGAGACCGCTTGGTAGGGAGCGGACTAAGCCAAGGGACCAAGTTCCCAGCTATGTCCCAGTACCTTCCAACAACAGATTCCCAGCCCCTGGGCCACCCTCTGAACTGATGGTAAACTGTCAGAGCCAGAAGGACCCACTCCAATTCCCTTGCCTTAGAATTGATATTACTGGTCCAGGAACTTCCCCTATAATAATTCACGCTCATCATAAGCCTTTGGGTAGCTATATTATCATCTCCCCTGTATAGATGAAGGAAGGAAAGTACAACGAGGTTAAGTGACTTGCCCAAAGTCACCCAGCTAGCAAGTGGTAGAGCTGGGGTCTGAACCAGGCAGCGGCCTCCAGAGCCGGAGCTCTTCACCACCCTGGGCATTGCCCCAGGTCAGCCCAGCTGGGGAGGGGCCTGGAGGGACAGTCAGATGGGCAGGGCGGGGCAGGGGCCCCTAGTCAGCAGTGGCTGACTAGGCCTGAGGCCCTGCCTGCTGTGCTGTGGCAGAACATCCCTAATCCCAGATGGAGCCCAGGGGCTGTTCTCCCGCACCTTTCCAGAAGGGTCTGCCTCATGGGACCCCAGAGCTTCCTCCCTTTGGGTCTTCCTCTGCTTCTCTTGCACAATAGGCCAGATGCTCTGTAGATATTTCTCCTGAGTGACAGTAGGGGCTACCATCTGTGGCTGGTGTCCAGGCAGGCTCAGTGCCACCCAACATATCAGAGAGGCCCTGGGCCTCCCCTAGTCCAAGGCAATGTTCCTGGGTGAGACCTGACTGCCCCATGCAGCACCTCTCACCCGACTCCCGCTCCACCAGTGTTCCACCCTCCAGGCAGGAGCCATGGACGTGCCTGCTGGCTGCTTTGGAAACGGGCAAACACTGCCATGCCAGGAGGCAGCTGTGCAGCTGGCCCGGCCCCTCACCACACACACAAATACACACATACACACACACACACATGCCCCGGCCAGGGGCCCAGATGTGGGAACAGACTGTGCCCGATTCCCAGGGTGGAAAACCTAATGAATTTTCCCTTCCCACTCCTCTGTGTGTCCTCCCCACAGCACTCGCCAAACTATTTGGGAACTGGTTGGGACTTCGGTCCTGGCCAAACCAGAGGGAAAATGTCTCATAATGGGAAAAACAAGACAGCAGCCCAGGCGTTCCCAGGTCCCGCAGGCCCCCCGAGCCTGGCCTGGTGTGGCTCAGCCACTGCCGGGCGCCTGGGCTTGAGGGCTTGTGGCCCCTCTCCGCCGGCTCCCCAGTCCTGGGTGACAAGTGGATTTAAGGGGCGCCCGGGGACTTTTCCTCCCCACTTACACCTGGGACTGGTCTGGGCTCAAAAGTGAGTGACAAGGTCACTGTCAGGGCTGGCGTCAGTTCAGAACTTTGCTGCAGGCGTCAACTTTAGCAGCTCTTAGTCTGACCGGGCTACAGAAGGGGCGGGAGAAGGCGGGAAGGGCCATAGTTTAGGATTTGGGAGATGTGGATCCTCAGGACAGAGCTGCTGCTAACCCCAAGTAAGTCCCTGTTAGGCTAGGGACTTGGATTCCCTGTCTATTAGATGAGGTGTGGGTCAACACCAGCAGGCTTCAAAGTTTTTGGACTGTGACCCATAGTAACACACGTTTTACATGATCATCCAGTACACGCAGCATACATACCGAACAGAATGTGCACACCCACTGCTCACAGTGCACCCTGATGCTGTCTCTTCTGTTCCATTTAAAAAACAACAAGTGGACTGAATGAGCCTCTCACTGTAAAATTCACCCATAGTCCTTGGCTCTAGCCCTACTTTCTGAGCAGTCTGGCCAATATTTGAGGTTGCCATTAGGATGCAAGTATTTCTCAGAACAGGAGAATTTGAATGCAAGATTTTGACGAGCAAACTCTCACCCTGCTTTGGTGGCCCAGCAGAGACCAGCACCCATGAGGAAGTGCCAAGGACATGGGTCCCCCAGCGGATGTGTCCTCCCCAGCTGGAGCCTCCCATGGTGCCCCGCCCTCTTCCCCCGGACTTGGACCCTGCTGTTGTTACCTTTTCAAGTGTTCCAGCAGGAAGAGGAAGGTGATGAGGTTGGGGTCGGGCAAGGAGCGGAGCAGGTGCATCATGCAGTTTTCCTTGGCAGCAGGGTCTGACAGGGCTGTGGGCAGAGAAGGGGCTAGGGCGGGGCTCGGCTCCCAGGTGGGGAGGCTCTGGCCAGCGCCCTGTGGTCAGGAGGCTGCAGGACCCTGAGGGAGAGGCTGCAGGGGGTCAGGGGAGCAGACCCTGCAGGGAAGGGCCTGGTATTTTCCCAAGGATGGACTATTAGTAGGTTCCTAAAGGAGGCCCCACCCACAACCTGTAACTCAGCCAGGAGGCTGGCTAGTGGGGAGCAGACACCTTTCCTCCCCTCACTGCAGGGGTCTTTGGGGTTGGAGCCATTCCCCATCCCTGGTCTTGTAAGGCTGAGTTTAACACAATGATGCCATCAGTGCAAATATTCTCTCTTTTTTAAGCACCTCTGTTGCCAGAGCCTGACAGTGAGCAGCCTTCCATGGGCTCCTCATTTCCTGTAGTGACTGAAGCCCTGACCTGCCCCAGGAGAAGATGAGGGATGCGCCCAGGCCTGGATTTGGCCCAGGTGATGGAGGCCAGAGCCCTGCCGGCCAGGGCCCTCAGCTTCCTCCCCACCCTGGGCACAGGAGAGATGAGACAACACTCCTTCTGGAAGTCTAGGGAGCAGCTGTGTCAAGCGCGCTCCAGCCCTAACCAGGCTTCTCCTTGGCCCCGGGGCACCAGCCCCTGACCACCCACCTCAAGGAAGATTTCCCTGGATCCTGGGTTTCTAAGCAAGGAGGTCAGTGTCCAAGGAGGAGGCACAGAGGGCAGCCCATAGGGACAAGAGGGGAGAGAGGCTCTAGCCTCCGGATCAGGCCCCCACAGGCCACACCTCACCCTCCAGGCCACTCAGCCACGTGACTGCAGTGCACTGGGCACATCAACAAGCAGGGGAAGCCACAGATCTCTCTTGCTCTTTACTCTGCTGGTCAGGGAGGCCTAGCCCTCAGGTCCACCGGGGCCTCACCGATGCCCTCCATGAAGGCTGGGTAAAGTCGGTCTGTGAGGAGGGGCTCGGGCAGCTCCCGGAAGTAGAGCTTGAGGGTGCCAGCAATGGCGTTGATGTCCATGTCACTCAGCATCAGCAGGATGTCCTTGTTATCTGTAGGGGAGGCGGGAGGTCAGGGGTGGCGGGTGCCTCAGCCACCTCCCTCCCCAACATAGCCCTCCACTGGGCAGGTAGCCCTTTTTGTCCCCTATCCATCTTAAGACAGCCTGCCTGGGGTACCCTCCTACTACGTCTCTGGTCTGGTCTCCCCAGGAAAGGCAGGAGGATGTAGGGAGTGCCTGCAGGTGGTGTGTGACTCTAGTCCGCGGGGGTGGGAGGGGGCAGCATAGTTCATCATCCAGAGTCCTGAAGCCACGTTCCTACCACATGTCACACACCCTCCTTCCAACTGGAATCTCCCTGCTTTTGAGCCCCTCCTGGGAAGGCACTGCATATTTTTTGTAGCTAAAATCATGTTCTGACAAAGCCTCAGCTTCCAGGTGATGCAGAGGAGCCATGTGCCAGCATGTCCCCAGCTCCCTACCCCGGGCTCCCCAGACAAGTCTGCTTGACAGCTTTCCAGGGACACCCACTGGGCCCCCTCTCATTTCCGACAGAATCAGCACTGCCCAGCCAGTTCGCACGTCCTGACTACTGGGGGTGCTGCGGCTGCAGCCTGACCAGCGGGATAGGGCAGGGGTGGGGAGAACCAGAAAGGTCAGGCCCCACCACGAAGGAGTTTTCAGTCAAAGTGAGAGGCAGCAATGCCCCCCCCAGAGGGCACCCAGGACCCTGGAGAAGGTGGGGCGCCCAAGCCAGCCAGCCCGGGCTCAGAGCCCTTTGGTTTTGGTACAGCCTGCCAGGCACTGGGGACCTAGCAAGAAAGCCAGGAACAGACTCTTGAGTCAGAAAGATCTGAGTTTAAATCAGGCTCAAAGCTTATAAGCTGGGTATCCTAGACCAGTGACTTGACCCCTGTGAGGCTCAGGTTTCTTATCTGTAGCAATGGATGAGAGATTGGAGGGGAGGGGATGACATGAGAAGATGCAGGAAGAGGCCTCACCCAGGGACTCGGAAATGGTTCAGCCCACGCCACGCTGGACTGCAGTTCGCAGACCAAGGCCCCTCTGCCAGCAGCTAGTTTGGACTCTCCACGGGGAAGCCTCCTACTTCCACTGTGCGCCCTCCCAGCCCTCCGAACTTGCTAGAGCATCCTCTCCCCGCCGCTGCCCGACTGGGCCTCCCAGACTCACTGGCATCAAAGACGGCCTTCAGCGCCTGGATGTCTGTGGCCACCCCTGATATCCGGTAGATGCCGACCTCCTCGATGCCCCGCTTCTCCACCTCCTCCACACACTGCCGGACGATGTAGGGCACCTTGGAGCGCTCCCGCCTGGCAGGGAGGAGATGTGAGGGGAGGGAGGGTGGACGGAGGCCCCCAGTGATACTATATGTAGCCCCTCTCCGCAAACCTTGGCATCAGAGAACTCTGGCCTCTGGGATCGAGGGGAGGCGGTGGCAGGAAAGGGCTAAGAAAGAGGCCATTGCCACCCCCACCTCCCACCCCCACAGCTTGCCCAAGGCTTGCGTGCTGAGGGACAGCAGGGGACAAAGGTGGGAGAAAGTTTTAGGAGATCAACCCAAAGACTGAAGAAAGAGTGTTCCTCAGATCAGAAGTCCCAGATTCAAATGCTACAGGGGACCCAGCAGGTCACCTACAGAGGGGGGTGGGCTGGGTCCTGGAGACAAGGGGAGGAGAGCTGAAGGATGCCCTTTCCCAGGGGAAAGCCACCTCTTAGACTCCAGCCTGCCGCTGCCAAGCCAAGATGCAGGCCTACCTTGTCATACCTTCCCACTTACTATAAGAAGCTGACAATCGGGGATTTTCACATGCCTTCTCCCAACAATTAAATGCCGGCTCATTTATTTCTAAGGCATTGTGTGAGGCAGAGAACACACCTCAGTGGGCCACTTTTGCCCTCCAAACTGGCTATTGTGACTACTGAGCTGGAGGGTGATTGATGAGGGACCAGACACGGGCAGGGGAGCCTGGACGGCGAGGCGGGCAGGGGAGCCTGGACGGCGAGGCTGGCAGGGACCCCGGGCGCAGCACCTACTTGGTCACCACGCTGATCTTCACCCCGAAGACGCCGGTCTGCTTTTTGGACGGAGTCCTCTTCAGGCTCATGTCTCGGCTGGTGAATTTCATGGAGAATTCCACTTTGATCTGTTTGGGGGCGAGGCAATCACAATCTCTCAGGACATGAGTGCCCCCCAAACACAGGGGCCCCCAGGATTGCAAACAAGGGCTGCCTCTGCCACCTGGGGCTCCCTGAAACACCTGCAGGGTGGGGGCAGGAAGGTGGGCAGAGGAGAGGGGAAAGGGGCTGGGCTAAGGGGGCAGGGATGGGACAGCTCCCCGAGGGTGCCAGCCATGGGTCGGGCTGCCCACCCACTGTGCAGACCCTTCCAGTCTCTCCGGGCTCACCCCATTCATCTCAATCACATCCGTGTGCCAGTTCTTGGTTTCAACAGTTTGTGGATCCAACTGCAGAGAAAGAAAGAAAAAGAATGTGAGTGAGAGAGAGATGACAGCTCAGAGACCAAGCCAGAGCTCTCCCTGCTGATTGGCAGCTGCCTGGAAGTTGGTAAAAGGTCAGGAAGGCAGAACTGGGGGCTGATGCTTAGCTTGACATCAGCCCTTCATGGGGCTCCAGCCCCTCGGCCCTTCCTGCCTGGCCAAATGAAGGACTCCCCCTCAGTTCTGGGAAGAAGGTGGGTGCATTCTTAGGCACATTCGCCCACCACATCTCACTCACTCCTGACCCCACCCTGTGAGATGGGTATTATCATACCATTTTATAGATGCAGAAACTGAGGCTCACAAAGCATAAGCAACTTGCTCAACTGCCAGAATTGGAGTTGACGGGAGGGGATGTAGCCCATGCACATGGTGCTGAACGGGAGGGGCTGCCACATAGACATAAACTGAATCCCAGTTCTGCCACTGGTGACCTCGGGAAGGTTTAAGCTCACCAAACCTCATTTGTTTTACTCGTTCACTGCAGCCAGTAATAGAACCTGCCTTGCTGGATTGTTGTGAAGACTCAGTGAGATAACCTGGGGTAAGTGGTTGGTTTCCCAGGAAGCAAACACTCTGTAGAGTGAGGAGGCCCCCAAACTGGGCAGGAACCCCAGGCAGGTGGGGACGACAGGGGAGGTCCAGGGGCATCCCTCACAGGCGACCAAGGACTCCATTCCTCTGACTCAGTGGCCTTCAAACTGTTTTCCTGTGTGCATCCAAAAAGTCACTTTGAAAAACAATGCACGCCCTGGCACATTTTAAAGTCAACACCTGAATATTTCCAAAGTAAGTTTAAATAGCTGCAAAGACTATATATAATGTTCAGAATAATGTAAATATTTACATCTTAAAATAAAACTGTTACATCATTCTTTTAAATGTATTCCATAGAATCCAAATACCATAGTGATTTGATACCCGCCATCATCCATTTAAAAAACACATAAGCAAGTTCTCCTTTCGCTTGTAGAAACCCAGCAACATTTCTTTTTCTCCTTGAATTTGTGTTTCTAGTCTATTTCTCCCAAAGAATTATGTCCTAGTTTGTATTTTTCTTTTTAAAAGTCTTTTATTCCTCACCCTATTATATTTTGCTTCAACAAAAATGTCTGTATAAATGGAAATGAAAATTTTCCTGAGACCACAAGACTCCAAATGTTCAAAGCATATCCTGGATTAGTTATTACAATGATTAACAGTACACAATCAAAAAGGTAACCAACACATTACAAACTTTAATAAATATTCAGCAGCAAAGAACCATTTTGGTGGAACTGCATCTCTTAATGAGGCAGGTAGAACATTTTTTTTCTGTATATATATATATATATGAATATTATTTTTTGCTAGGGTGAAATGCGTTTTAGCATCATTACTGTTCTCTTTGGTTTGGTTTTTAAAGATGTAAAGGATGAAACATCTTGTTCACATAACTAAGTACATGGGGCTGAAAATAGTTTTATTATAGCAATGTTTGCAATCCTTTAACCTCTTTCTTCATTATTTGCCTTAAAGTACATATATACCTATTATCAATATTTATTTGAAATGATCTCTCAGCTGAGTGTCCATCACTTTTGTGGACAGAAAGAACCAGAAACCATGTGACTTGTGAAATGATCTGTAACCCAGCCATTAGTCTTCTACTTTCTCAACTCCTGCACCAGCATTTCAAGCAGCCCCTTCGCCTGCCACCCAGGAGGTCTGGCACCCTGGGCTGAGCCCCCCCAGCGAGCCGGAGGGAGGGAGAGGTGATGGTGCAAAGCCCTTCTCTGTTCGATTGCTTTCTCACAATAGCACTTAAAGGAGTTGAGGACCTGCAAACTGATTCCCTTAAAACTCCCCTGCCCACGCACCCCTGGACTGTGCACCCCCAGTGCAGAGCACTGCTGCGTTAACAGGCCCTCCTCACATTGGAAAGCCGGACCTGGGTCAGCTCAGGGGAGCTGGGTCCCAGGGCTTCTTACAGCTCAAGGTAAGTCCTTCCTACACCTTCCATCACCCACACACCAGCTGAGGACAGGGGCCACCCAAGACTCTGATGGGGTCTGGGGCCCGCATCTGGGCCCCAGCCCAGCCTTGAACAGTCAGTTCCCTGCTCGGAGGAGGGATGAGAACAGGACAAAGGGGGAGCAGTGTGGAGAGGACCAAGCACCCCTCGCCACTACCTCCTCATAAGAGGGAAGTGTGTGGGACTCCCCGGCCTGCTGCCCGGGCTCTCTATTCCAAAGGACTCAGGACCAACTCCTCCTGGGTCACTCAGACCTTCCTCCCCTAAACTTTCTGTCCCAACCCTCACCGGGCCCATAGCACAGACTGCCCCTTACAGGTCCTTCATCCCCTCCAGAATGCTGGGTCTTGGACACAGGGCCTGGGTCTGTCCCCAGCCCTATCTGCAGCAGTGGCCACCTGGAGCAGAGATGGCCATTGCTCCTTGTGGCCTGAGGCAGATGCTACCCTTGGGACACATTCTGGAGGGACCACCCCTTTTAATGTGGGTCTCTCCAGGCATCAGCATAAGCCTCAGGCCATCCGTGGTTCTGGCCCCCAGTGCACCTCCTCCTGCCTAGCCTCCCATGACCTGGCACCTCCTGGCAGCTGTCATGGACTGAGCCGGTGGTCCCACCCTGGGTCCTGGAGTGGCACGTGGATGTAGCCTGAGTGGGGAAAGTGCAGGGATTGAAAGACCAACCTGGGTCCAAATGTTCACTCTTCCACTCAACTGTGTGAATCTGGGCAAGTCACTTACCCTCCTGGAACCTCAATTTCCTCACAGGGGTGTCCATGCCTGCCTCAGAGCGTTGTCATAGAAAACAGTAACAGCGACTGATGCGCTGGGAGCACTTCCTGCAAGTCTAGTGCTGTGACAAACCCCATACAGACAGCATCTCAATAATCATCACAAATCTGTGAGGTTTAAGCCTTTCTAGCTGCTCCCATTTCTACAGACAAGGACACCGAGGCACAAAGAGGATCAGGAATTTGCCCAGGACCACACATCTAGGAAGGGAGAGCAGGAGCTCAAAATCAAGTCTCCCTGCTCACCTCTGCTAAACCTGCACGATCCCGTGCACAGCACCTGGCTTGGCGCCCACGCTTCTTGGCCACAGGTCAGCTGCTGTGACCATTATTTATCTAGAGAGGAGGCATGAGGCCTCCACAGTCTGGCACCGCCAGCTGACCTGCGTGCTGGCAGGCCGCCTCCAGTACAACTCTTCCATTCCTTCTCTCCCCATCGCTTCTGTACTAGCTGCCAAGTAGCAACCCTACTTTTCCTGGGAGCATCTGAGAGGGCCTTAGCAGGCCCAGTCTCAGCACTGCTTCCTCCAGAAAGGCTTCCTGGATAACTCCCGACCTCAGGGATCTTCAGTTCCCCTCCACCTTCCTGTTGCACCAGGATCCTTTTTCCCTGCACCGTTTATTGTTTCAGTCTGTCCGAGACCAGGTCTGGGTCAGGTGGCACTGTCCTGTTTTACTGTGAGTCCCACCACGGCCCTACGCCAGATCCCCTCTGCAGGTGCAGCCCTGGTACCTGCGTGGGGAGGCCTGCCCAGCCCCTTGGCGCCCGACAATGAAGCTCTGTTTCCCAGGAGGCCAGCAGCCTCCAGAAACCAAGTCTATTTCAGGACGTCATTTAAATACAGAGAAGGGAGGGTGCAGAGAGGGACATGGCACATTTTCCAGAGAAATGATGCTGTCTGAATTGCTGTGGTTATTTATAACCCCTGGGAAATGTGGACTTTGCTATTTCCTGATTAGATTAGTGCTGGGGGCGGAGGAGCCAGCCCCCTGGATATCAGTGGACAAGAACACCTGACCACTCACCCTCTGGGCCCAGCAGAGAGGTGCTGTCCCCCAGCCTGGGGAGCAGGTACATGGGGACCACCAGATCACCTGTAGGGAAGGAGATGATGGGGTTGTGAAGGGTCAGGCTGGGGAGACTCTGGAGGGCCCCTCCTTCATTGCACAGGTAACAGAAATACAGTGGGGCTCTCTACCAAGGTGGGGCACAGGCAGGAGACAAGCAGCCCAGAGAACAACCCAGAGAAAGTTATAAACGAGTGGGCCGAACACAGCTACTGGGAGCGGCTCAATTATGTCCGTTTTGCCTTTGCATTTAGACCTGGTCAGGTCATGGCCGCACATCCAGACCTCTCCCGAGGAGAAACGACTGCTCTGTGGACTGATGTCCACAAGAGAACCACCAGGTTCCCTCCAACACTGGGAGGAGTCCTGCATCCCAGGGAAAGAGTCCGCAGTGTCTCAGAGAGAATCTGGCAGGTGGCTGGGGAGCCCGCCTCACTTTCTGGGCCTCAGCAGCCTCACATTTAGGACAGGAAGTAGGCTTCCCGGCTTTGCGGGGGCTGAGAGGGTGTGAGGACCTGCAGGCAGGGGAGGCTGCTCCAGATGGTGAGTGCTGCCTTGGTTTTCAGAACATCCTCAGGGGTCCCCTCTGAAAGGTCTAAGCCCTTCCTCTGGCCCTTTCTCACCAGCCTGGGGCAGGGGACCCCAACATTCTCCTCCCCTCTGGCTCAAGGGCTGTTCATGGCCACCTCCCAGTGCTCGGGATTTAGGAGGCACATGAGAGTTTGGGGGCCCCCTTCCTGCTCCCTCTAGAAGGCAACAGAGCCCATGTTCAAACCCAGGTCCTTCTGATGGCACAGTCCTCCCACCGCCCGACACCCGCAGCCCACCTGAAAGTCTGCTGATTTCTGCTACTGCACCTTCCCATGGGCTCCTTTAATTTACAAGGTGGGGGCTGTGGAGGCCCCATCTGTATAGTGGGGATAACCCTTCAGCACCAGCAGCTACAGTCCCAGCGGAGGGAGGCACAGGCCCAGAGCAGCGGCAGTGTTACTCTGGGATGTGACGCGGGGGCTCGATGGGTGACAGGGACATGAAAACAGTATTCATTCACCAGGGCTCCCCGGGCCCCCACTTCCCTCTTCACAGCCCCTTGCTGCTGACCCCCTTCCCTTAAAACCTCACAGTGTCATTGCCACAGCACAGGCCCCAAAGCCCTGAGAAGCCCACATCCCTGGATGCCGCCCCTGATCCCAGACCTCCTGGGCCCGGCTCCACCCTCTGTCCTCTGAGCCCAGCGCCTGGCATCCTGGGCCTGTCCTGGGTGGTGGCATGGACTTCACTCAAAGCCCAGAGTTGTCTTTAGGGCTAATAAAAACTAACTGCAGTAAACAAGCGTAACTGAAGTTGTCACCCTTATTGGTGAAAAGGACACTGAATAGAAGGCAGGTGTCCGGCTGTGTTTGGGGACCCTGCCAGAGGCTGACTGCTGGGCTGTGGAGACCAGGCCCTGAGCTGGGTGTCTTGTCTGATGGGGGTACATTTCCTGTGGCTCCCAGGGCGGCGGCCATGGTGGTAGGCCCAGCTGGCCTTCCTCTGCCCTCCGCCAAGTGCATCCACATGCTCTGGGCTGGGTCCCCTTGGGACACCAAGGCCAGCCTGTCATTGGGACAGACCACAGGCGTGAGAGGCATAGAAGGGCTGACAGCAGCGCTGCCAAGAGCCTGCCTCTCCCGCCCTTGGGAAGGGTACTGGAGGAGTCTGTCAACGTGGCCACTCGCTCGAAACTCATAGAGGGGCCGGGCGGAGTTGGGGGGTGGGGTAGGGCCTGTATCCCGACTCAGGCTCAGCAGCTGCCTTGGGGGAGACCAAGCTCAGACTCAGTAAACTCACCCTGTCCTCCCAGAGGTTGGCCCTCACCAGGAGGCCAAGCAAGCTCTGCCCCACCAGCCCTCACCCCGCAGGGTTAGCACCCTCTTCAGACCAGCCAGCCCGGGATGAGGCCGCTTGGCCTCAGCTTGCCTCCCCTCCCCTCCCCTCAGAACTCTGAAGTTCCCCAAGGCCCACATATGGAA